ATAGGAAGATAATGTTTAATCTTTTTCCTTTAATTATTATATGTTGCCAAATTACTCATTATAAAGTTTATACCAATTTAAGTTTCTACCAGCAGTGTATGAAATGCCTCATTCACATGCTCTATTTACCAATCTGTGTAATCTTTCCCAACTTAATGGGTTAATCATTTCACTTTAATTTTAATTTACATTTTTCATTATTTGATATCCTTGTCCTCACTTTCTTTACATAATATTTAGTAAGCTGTCCTTTCTCTCTCCCTCTGTCTACAATACTTTTAGTTACTACAGTAATGTGTTCTTAGTGTTGCTATTTGGATTTAAACTTCTTGAGCTAGACTTGTAAGCCCCAGCTGATATTCTTTTGTTCCCAGATAATGCCTGAGTAAGTCAATGAGTTTATTCTAATGTTAACGTACTTTTACTCTTCTGCTTCTTTCTGGTAGCTGTATCATTTCCATGTGACATTTACATATTTTGTTTCTTTTTCATTAGGAGACTCTTCTCAGATATATATAATGCTCATCTGTCAAACATTATGTTAAAGATTTCCAAAGATTTTCTTGATTTTGGAAGCTTATTTTCTAGATCACACCTAAAGACATGTTTATATCCCTTTATCCATGATGTTAAAGACTCTGTGGAATGCAAATTTATACCCATCACCAACATTAGGAATTCAAAGTATACTGGCCATTTGGGTGAGAGAGAGAAGTCCAGGACACTATGTCCATAAAAGAAGCCATTTCAGTTATAATACATTTTGTTTCTATTCTCTATTAATTATATGCTAGATTGCATAACATTTTCACATGAGACATGCAGCATTAGTCCATAAATTCTAGGTTTATTTACAATAATCCACCCAAAAGGACACAAAGTATGTCCTTCTACATCCTACTGAATTCAGTAGAGAAATATTCTCTCTCTATTTACTGTTATTGTTGTCTGTTTATAAGTATGTTTATAGTAAGTTTGTTTATAAGTAAATTTGGCCAGGTCATTTCTGTTTTTATTTTCCTAATATCCCTGGGAAAGGAAAAATGTAGATTGTCTTTCCTTCTCAAATCTAACTTTCCTTAACAAATCTATCATTTTATAATATATTCATCTTCAGCAATATCTATCTATTTAATCTGTCATTCTCAGAGTGCTTGAGTGGACACTAGACCCAGACAGGCTACACATGACAAAGAATTTGGAAAGAAAATTGCTGATTGTAGTTCTCATGGGCAGACCTGGACAGCAGATTTCACAGTCCCATTCTCTAAAGGAGACATAATGTACAGTCTTTAAATTGTAAGCTCCAAACTTGATTACTAAGTCAAATGTGGAGGTAGACAAAGGGAAAACAAATACATAGAGAACAGGAATGGAGAAGGTGGGAGAAAAGATAATATGTAGTGTCCAATCCAGCTCTGCAGGAGGTGAGTGGAGGTATAGACTTTTCTCTCTGCTAGAGTCAGCAGAGGGCAGTGCTGGCCACTGTCTTCTACAGATGTGGAATACATTGCTCTACAGTCAATACTAGTGATATGACCCAGAGGTGCAGATTCTTAGACACAGAAGATGACCCACAACTAGAGAGGATCAGACACCAGACTTGTTCCATTTCTTAACAAACCCAGAACCTCCTTCAAAGAACATCATCAAAGAAAACACAGAAAAATGTAGTGAAATCATGAGTAAATTTCTCAGTACAGTATATAGTGGTGGCAGAGATCTAGGACAGGTGGTTCCCAAGCTCAGAGCCCCGTGTCCCCTAGTCTGGGGAGCTTGGAGAGAATGAAAGTGGACAGACACACCCAGCCTAGAAACCTGGAATAGGACAGCTACTATCCACTGGTCTTGCTTTCACAACAGTAGGACAGACCCCAAGAGAGCTACACTGGCTATGAGTCCTAAATACTCCTTTATTATTCTTGTGATATGCAGAAGCCCTAGAGGAGTGTTGAAGGTCAGAGTGAGGCTGGCAAATCCACCTCTAAATTTCTAACCCAAAGAAAAAAGTTTGGCAGAAACAAGGTCGGGGTCTGAGATGGAGAGGGAATGGGGAATGTTGGGAACACAGAAAAAGGAATTGAGCACTACAGTAGCTGGAACAATGCCAGATATAAATTAGGCCCCCTGTGGCATGGTTTTAGAAGATTCCAGAGTAAATTGCAGCCTGAGAAAATGGAATATAGTTCACAGAACACTGGGTCTTCTTGAGCATGTCTTTCTTTTCATCTGAGAATCAATGGAACAGATTAGAAGATACAGAAAGAACTCCGAACATTCAGCCACCTTATCTTTGACAAACTGTTCATTGGAAGAAAGAAAGCCTCTTTAATAAATAGTGCTAGAAAAACTGGCTTTCCACATGCTAAAGACTAAAATTAGACCCATGTCTGTCACCATGCTAAAACTAAGTTAAAGTCAAGTGGATCAAAGATCTAAATATCCAAACAGAAACACTAAGTTCTGTTCTCTTTTCTACTGGAAGACAGAATAAGTAGAACTCTTGAAGACATAGGTGTAGGCAAAGACTTCATGAACAAAACCCTGATTGCACATGGAATATTACAAGAATCAATAACAGGGATCTCATCTTATTAAAAAGCTTTTGCACAACAAAAGAAATCACCAACAGAGTGCAGAAACAACCCACACAGTCTCTTCCCCAGACAAAAGACTTCTATCTAGAACATACATAGAATTTTTAAAAATCACATCCCCCAGATTTAAAGACCCAACCCAAAAATGGGCATCTGAGATGAATACATACTTCTCTGATGAAGAAGTACAAATGACAAATAAATATATGAAAAAGTGTTCAATATCACTGGTCATTTGAGAGATGCAAAGTAAAACAATGCTGAGATTCCATCTCACTTCAAAAAGAATAGCTAGCATCAAGAAATCAACCAATAACAAATGCTAGAGGGGCTGTGGGGAAAAAGGAACCCTTCTCCACTGTTGGTGGGAGTGTAGACTGGTGCAACCACTGTGGAAATCAGTGTGGATATTCTTCAAAAAACTAGGAGTAGAGGTTCCATTTGACCCAGGTATTCGCCTTCTTGGTATTTTCCCAAAGAATTAAAAGCATCATACCACAGTGATATATGCATACCCATGTGCATAGTATCACAGTTTGTAATAACTAAATCTTGGAAAAAACCCAAATGCCCGTCAACTGATGAATAGCTAAAAAAAGACGTGTTTTTTATACAATGGAGTACTATTCAGCCATAAAGAAGGATAAGCTTGACACATTTATAGCTAAATGGATGGACCTTGAGACAGTACTCTTAAAGTAAAATAAATTAGACACACAAGTATAAATATCTCATTGTCTCTCTGGTGTGAGAGACTGAAAGTGTAAATAAGAACCAAAATGTATAACATATTGTGAAACAGGAAGAAATTTTTCAAAAAGAAAAAGAACTAGGGAAGGGGTAGAGGAAGGAGAAGGAACAGAAAAGAAAAAAATGAGAAAAGTAGTATAAAATGGAGACAAAGCTTTTGTAAGTAAGGAGTGTAAGAGGGTTAAAGGGAGGGGAGGGTGATGGGGCAAAAAAGAATCAAGATATACTATGTAGAGGTACAAATTCTCTACAATGAGTGTGATCATTATGTATATCTAAATTGGGGGCAACCCACTTGGGCCCCCCTTCTGTCCCTCTCTTGGACAGAAGCTTTCTTTCCCTCAATAAATATATTATTCTCTTAACCTCTGTTATTCCTAAAATTCATTCTTTGATTTTAGAGAACACAAACTCATCCCAGGTATCATTCAGGTTGGGAGTTTCTACTTTCCTGTATCAGTCCCAGCTCTTGGGAGGATGAGGCAGGAGGATTACTGCAAGTTTGAGGCCCACTTGGGCTACATAGGGGGACCTGTCTCAAAACAAAAAGCAAAAACTAAACAAAACAAATCATTCCCCAAGAAGGACACACAAGATCACCTTTGCAGTATTTTCCACAACTATCCAACCTGAATCTAACCCTGTGGAAATAAAAGTCCAAATTATGGGACATTCTATAGTTTTGGCCTAGACTCTGAAAATAATAGCTTTCATCAAAGACAAAGAAAGGCTGGCAAGGTAGTCTCCATCTACGTTTAAAAGACTTGAAGGAAATATAAACATTAAATGTTAATATGCAGCTGGGTGTGGTGGCACAGGCCACCCACCTGGGAAGCTGAAGCAGAAGAATTGCAAGTCTGAGAGTCCAGCTGGACAATTTAGCAACTTAGTAAACCAAAAATACATAAATAAATAAATTCAGAAAGATGAGGAGCTGGGCGTGGTGGCGCACGCCTGTAATCCCAGCACTCAGGAGGCTGAGGCAGAAGGATCATTATGAGTTCAAGGCCAGCCTGGACTACAAAGTGAGCTCAAGACTAGTCTAAACTGCATAGCAAGACCCTGTCTCAAAAAGACTAAATAAATAAATAAATAAATACATAAATAATAAATTGTCCCAATAAGCTTAATAATAAAAAAGACTGATAGTAAAAGCATATGTCAGCATGCTGAATACCATTGTTGCCTTTCAGTGTGATGTACTACAGTACATGATCTGAGATGCTTTTAATTACTTCACTGTTCATCTATACATGATTCTTGGGTGCTGTCGTTTTTCTGATCCAACTATTGTTTATCTCCCATCATATGAATGAATTGTCCTTTTTAAATGACAATGGGAGTATACAGTGGTACCTCAGTTCACAAACTCAGTTCTCTCCACAGTTCTGGTCACAAACTGAACTGGATGAGAGCTGAATCAAATTTCCCCATAAAGTCAGCACTGTCTAACCATCCGACTGTCCAACTCAGTTTGCAACCAGAATCATGGGAACAACGAAGTATGTGAACCAATGTATCATCATATAAAGCAATGACAGTCAGGATTAAGTAGATGCTACACAAAATATATTTTTTAAGAAATATTTTTAAAATCCCTAGAATGCATATTCTGTCAAAAGAAAAAGCCAACCCAAGTATTTGTTTTTCTAGGAGACAGAAGAAAACATAGAACTGGAAGCAATAATGGAACTAAAGTTTGAGTCACCTAAATTAATTCTGAGAATCAGGAGAAGTCACCTGGTTATAGATGCCCTATGTCAATTAAGCCAAGTTGAAAACAGTGACTTTTGGAAACTATTAGTGGTACAGTAAAGTGTCTCATTGAATAATTTTACTGCTGCAGGAGGGAATATTCCTATAATGTAATGAAGTCTCTCTTTAAAAAACCTGCATGGTATAGTCCCAGCATTCTCAGGGGCTAAGGCAGTAGAATGGCAAGTAGGAGCTCAGCCTGGATGTTATGTTTTGTGCCTGCATGTTCCCCCAAATTCTCATGTAGTCATGGGGCAGGCTTCTAGATTTTTTATTGATCCATAGTCCAATGCTGGGATTATGGGTGTGAGTGCTACACTAGCCCTGGGGCAGATAGTTTGCAAACAATGTAAGGGAGGAAAGAGGTTGCTTGCCACCATTCCTCCCTTTTGCTCTTGCTGCTTTTGCTGTTTTCTGCCACCATGAACTCTGCCATGTGCCACTCTGCCTCAGAGCCAGCCAAGTATGGACTGAAACTTCCACAGACTGTGAGCTAAATAAACCTTCTCTTCCTTAAATCTGGGTGTCAGGTATTTTGTCTCAGCAATGTGAGAAAAGTAACCAAGACTTTGGGGAAAGTGGAGACTTACTGAAACTCTGAGCTCAGTCCTTAGTACTGCCCCCATCACAGTCTGCATTTGCAACTACGGTTATCAGTCTTCTGGTTTCCAGAACTCACCCTTTACCCTTCAGAGAATAGCAATGACGTTTCATTGCACAGTGAGTTGTGAGTTAATGCTTAGTACTGATGGCCATGAAAATGCTGCATAATAAACCATCCCAAAGTTTGTTGCCCTAAGACACCAATAATTTATTTCTCAGATCTGCTGATTTAGGCTGAACTCACCTGGTGGCCTGACATACCTCCTCTTCCTTCTTTCTGTCCCTAGATTCCCCTCTTCCTCTCCTTCTCCTCCTCTTCTTTTTTGGTTCTTTTTTTTTTTTTTTTTTTTTTTGGTTTTTCTCCGGTACCGGGAACCGAACTCACCACCTTGCGCTTGCCAGGCAGGCGCTTTTGCCGCTGAGCTAAATCCCCAGCCCCTCCTCCTCTTCTTTTTATTCATGCTTATCCTCCTCTCCTTCTCTTCTCTTTCTTTTTTCTCCTTCTCCTCCTGTTTCTTTTACCTCCTCTGGAGGACAAACCCACCACCTTATACATGCCAGGCAAGTATACTGTCACTGAGCTATATATCCAGCCCCATAGGTTTTGTCTGAGTTTGTTACAGGTCTGGCATATGAACAAGGATTGGTTCATCTATGCTAAGCTTGACCAGGGCAGTTTGGCTCTGCTTTGTGTGTTCTTCATCTTCCTGCTGGAACCAGCAAGCATGTTCTTCTCAGAAGTGCAGTAGGTGCAGTACAGAAATCACTCAACAAAAAGTTTTAGTCAAAGGAGTCTCCTGGATGAACCAAAGTTAAGGGCATGGGAAAAAACAGGAGGAACTCCAAAATCACATGCAAAACACACAAATCAAGGAGTGGTCAAGAATTGGTTCCTTTCATGCAATCAACAAGCAGCAAGTGGAACAGACACTACTTCTATATTTTGGTTCCAGTTTTGGTTGAAGATCTTTTACTATACAGGTTTTAATTCCAGCCATCTTTCATTTCATCCTTTGTATATGTCCATTGGATGTTTATTGTTTGGAACTTCAGCTATTTTGATCTATTGAAGTTGTAGAATAATAGCTACATCAGTGAGTGAGAGCTAGAGTCTGGCAAAAAGAAGTGTATCTTCCTGATATCAGCCATGAGGGTGAATGTTAGACATCACAGAGGAAGCAGGAACTTGGAAGGTGAGACTCAGATAAGAGAGGGATATTTTCCAGCAAATAATTCCAGTGGAAAACAAAGAAACTATTCTATAAGCCAGGTGTTCTAGTTTTGTGGCTTCCTTTACACCTATGTTTATGTTTTGAGTATGAGGAAATCAATAGAAAATTATTCCCCCTACAGGAGAAAACCAAAAGATAAGAAAGTAAACCTCAAGGCAAAGCCAATCAGTATATAGATTCTGAAAATGACAAGGTCATCAGGGCCCATTATGGGTGATGCCTGACTGTGGTAAAAGCAGACTTGCTGGTAAATAAGCAGAAATAAGAAAATCACAAGAAATCTTAACTTGTTATTGAACTATCTAATGGGAAGGTGAGCCAGTCCTTTAACATGATGACCATGGCCAAGGTGTTTGACCCAAGAACACCAGATATGATTTCCTAGGCAGAGGGTAGAAAGCAAACAAAAATGTCTTGGTTACTTTTCTCTTGTTGCTGAGACAAAATACTCAACACCCAAAATTAAGGAAGGAAAGGTTTATTTAGCTTACAGTTTGTGGAGGTTTCAGTCCATACTTGGCTGGCTCCAAGGCAGAAGATAGCAAAGCAACAAGAGCAAAGCGGGGAATGGCAGTCGAACAGCAAAGCAGCCAGAACTAAATGGGAAGAATGGCGGCAAGCAGCTTTTTCCCCTGCCTTACATTGTAAACAGGCTACCCCC